TAGAAACGAACACTCAAATGGCCAGGGAGATCTTGGAGAAAACTGAGTTGGACTCTGACGAGAGTATAATCTCCCTTGATGTAAAGAGTTTGTAATTTAATGTCCCGCTCAAGGAAGCGGTTGAAATAGCCCTGAGGAGATTATATGAGCAAGTCAACCCTCCGGAAACATCTCGCAAGGGAGAACAAAAAACAAGAAAGAACAAAAAACTAAAAAATATCAGAAGTTTACAGGAAAATGTTGTTCATGATTACGTAATTATATTATGTAATTACAGTTGTTCAAATTTGATTGGTTAAAAAGTTTTAGAGCCTTTTTAGACACGTTTCTCATTTTTCAGATCTTTGATCGTTTTGCAAATATTGTAAAAAAAAATTTTTTAATCCTGATGATGCACAGAATGTACAAAAAAAGGTAAAAAAAACGGTTTAGCATTGGGCGCCTCCCTTGCAGTAATATTGGCTAATTTGTGGCTCAAAGAATACGAACCTGCATTAAAGAAAGAAATACCAAAAATGACTGTGCTAAGTGAGGGTAACAAGGAAGTTTGCCTTAGATGTCAGAAAAAGGTGACATATCGGACAAAAGGAGTAGAATGCGAAGCTTGTTTGAATTGGTACCACTTAGGGTAAGGTAACATATCGGAATCCGAATACGCAGACATCGCTGTAACAGTATGGTATTGCATGACGTGCAAAAAACAACGGGAAGCGATCGGACTGTGAATGGTGTTAAAGTTTTTCTAAGATATGTGGATGACATAATTAGAACGGTCAAGGGCGATCCTGGGGTAGTTCTCGAGGCTGCCAATAAGTTGCATCCAAACTTGCAGTTCATCATTGAAGAACTCGATAGTAACGGTAATTTGGCCTTTTTGGACTTAAATGTCAACGTGCATTCAGCAAAAAAGGTCACATGTGGTTGGTACAAGAAACTCACTGATACCGGCACCATTCTAAATTTCAGAGGCTGCGCACCTTTGCAGTACAAAAGAAACATTATTGAAGGGACGGTTCATAGGGTTTTCAGAAGTACCTCAACATGGGAGTATTTTGACCAGGCATTGGAAAAAAATCGGAAACTATGGATTGAAAATCAATATCCAAAAAATTGGTCTGACAGGGTAGTGTTTGAAACTCTTAACAAGATTATTAAGGGAAAGAAAAATTTAGAAGTGAAGGCATCAGAACCGAGAAATGTCAAATGGTTGAAAAACTCACCACCCCTTCTTACAATGCAATATCGAGGCAATCCATCTCAACTGTTAGCTGCAATGGTTCGGCAAATATCCGGGGCACAAATAATTTTTACAACAAGAAAATTGAAAACATGCTTGCCATCCCTCAAAACTTCCTTTGCTCGTGAACTGAGATCCAAAGTGGTGTACAAGCTTACATGTAGTGGATGTAACTCCACCTATGTCGGTCAGACAGTCCGACATTTAGCCACGAGGGTCGATGAACACCGCAAAGAGGACTCCCCAGTAGGACAACACTTGTTAGAATGTAATAAGGAGGTAGGCGGTACTGCTGAGCTGAAGTCAGAGATTATAGACCAAACAGCCAACACTCATAAGCTACTGACACTAGAGGCTTTGCATATTTGGAGGGAGAGGCCGAAGATCAACACACGCGATGAATTCAGGAGCCGGGAATTAACACTAAAATTATAGTCTATGTATAACATCGCTAAAATTTAAAAAACTGACATGTCAGAATCAAAAATGGTCCCAAATCGAAATTTTTCAACCAGAAAGAACAAGAAACTAAAAAACCTCAGAAATTTACAGGAAAATGTTATTCATGATTACGTAATTATATTATGTAATTACAGTTGTTCAAATGTGATTGGTTAAAAATTTTTAGAGCCTTTTTAGAAACGTTTCTCATTTTTCAGATCTTTGATCGTTTTGTAAATATTGTAAAAAAAATTTTTAATCCTGATGATGCACAGAATGTGCGAAAACGTTTGAATTGACATTTTAAATTTCTTTTAAAAACGTTACTGCTTTCGGCTCCGGTCAAAACACTCAAATTAACTTGTTTACTTGCAAAATTAGTGAGCTCATGGCTGGGTCTCAGTATCCCCAGACCACGAGGTCACCCCTAAAAACAGGGCTACTAATATTTATTATATTATGATTAATATTATATTATTATGAACAAAAGAGACGAGATAAGTGATCAGTTATATTCTAAGATGAGATCAACAGGGGGGCAACCCGCCCGTTTGTACGGTTTAGCTGAGGTACACAAGGATGAGACACCCCTACGACCTGTACTATCACTTCCCGGCAGCTCGTATGAGAATCTTAACAAAATGCTTGCAAAGTTTTTTGACAACATCGATGGAGCAAATATAGAAACCAATACTAAAGAGGCTAGAGAAAAAATAGAAAACATTGCTCTAGATCCGGATGAAACCATAATATCTCTTGATGTGAAAAGTTTGTACACCAACGTTCCCCTGAAGGAGGCAATTGAAATTGCTTTACAGAAGCTGTACAGCCAGGAGTCTCTTCCTGAAATTCAAAGAGCAACCATGAAAAGGCTTTTGAATATGGCGGTCAGCAAAGTATATTTCAAGTGTAATGATTCATGGTTTGTACAAGTTGATGGTTTAGCAATGGGCGCGTCCCTCGCTGTAATTCTGGCAAACTTATGGCTGAAAGAATACGAATTTGCTCTACGACAACAAATACCGGTGGGAACGGGGGTACAGCAAATTAATGACAAAAACAGCTTGTGCCCATGTTGCAGCAGGAAAGTCACATATAGATCAAAGGGGGTTGAATGCGAGAGTTGCCGAAACTGGTATCATCTAAAATGCGGAAAAATATCCGATGACGTATACGCATCAATAACCGAGATAATCTGGTACTGTGAAAGCTGCTGCCGAGCTAAGAACAAGGAGAAGGATACTCCCCAGGTGAAATTGTTCCCCAGGTATGTGGATGACATTGTTAGAACAGTCAGAGGGGAGCCGAGTTGTCTTCTCGATGCCGCCAATTCTCTTCATCCAAATTTGCAGTTCACTCTAGAGAAAACTAATTCGGAGGGGAATTTGCCGTTCCTGGATTTGAACATAAATGTATCGCAGGATAGGCGTGTAACTTGCAGTTGGCATCAAAAACCAACAGATACAGGGACTATACTGAACTATAGAAGCTGCGCCCCAACTCAGTATAAGCGTAGTGTTATCCAAGGCACTGTACACAGGGTTTTTAGGAGTACATCTAGCTGGGAGCAATTTGATAAGGCTATGGAAACTAATAGGGCGCAATGGCTGACAAATCAGTACCCTGAAAATTGGTCCGCAAAGGTGGCTTCAGACGCCTTGTGCAAGATCATCGAGGGTAAAGGCAAGCCCCTGGATAGTGACAGGGGTTTGTCAGTTCAATCACCAAAGGATGAGAAGCCCCCAATGCTGATGGTGCAATATAGAGGTAACCAGAGCCAATATTTTGCTAACAGGTTACGAAAATTAACGAACGTTCAAGTGGTTTTCACCACAAGAAAACTACAATCATGTTTACCATCACTGAAGTCAGCATTTTCTAATGACCTCAAGTCAAGAGTGGTTTATAAACTGTCATGTAGTGGATGCACTTCCACCTATGTCGGACAAACTGTTCGACATTTGACCACTAGAATTGAGGAACATAAGAAAGCAGACTCACCGGTAGGCCTCCACCTTCAGCAATGCCAACTTGAGGGAAATAGCGCAGATCTTAGTTGGGAAATTATAGATAGTCCAAACAACCAAACAAAATTGCTAACACTAGAGGCAATACATATCAGGAAAGAGAAACCGGGCTTGAACACGCGCGATGAGTTTAGGAGCAGGGAGTTAACACTGAAAATTTAGTCCCAAAATATTTTTGGTTTTTTATTCAAAACGTACATGTCTAAATCGAAATTATGACTCAGAAACTTCCAGACAAATTAATTTTAAAATGTTTAATTAATTTTAGAGGTTAAAAGTATTTTAATCTTAATAGTAATTTAGAGGTCAACTGTGATTGGCTAATTTTTTATCATGATGGTTTAGAACCAAATTGTATGTGATTTATTGTAAATAACATTTGTAAATTGATGTTTTATCGTCATTTAGAGTAGTTTATTGTAAAAATTTTGACGATGCACATAGTTGCGAAAACGTTTGAAATTTACTTTTTAGCAAAAATTTCTTATATTATTATTGTTTTTGTTCAGTAGATAATAATCCTCATCTCCATCGAAGATGGATCAACCCCTTCCCCCAACTCCTAGCTTCTCATCGTCAGAAAATGAATTCAGATGTTAAATAAAATCAATTCAGGACATAATCGGGAAGCTAAAAGTTTGTATAAAATGGTTTAAGTTCAAGTCCCGAGATCCCTCCGGATGCCTGAATCCGGGGAAATAACACCCTTACTTCCTCTCCGAAAGGCTGGTTTCTACCCTTCACCGTTGTTGTGAATGGCCTTGCAACGATTGTAGCGACACAATCATTGCAACTCGGAGCTATCTCTGCTAACACTCTTGCGTAATTTCGTTTTTCTCTCAATTCTCGTAGTTGTTTTTGCAACTTCTGTCGTTGTTCTGTTTTTATTTTGGATTTCTTCCAAAATGGCCGTTGTTGACGTTTCTCAGAAGTGTGATGTCACAATTCGAATTTTTAAAATTTAAGAATTTCCGAATCCTTCAGCCTTCACGATTTGTCTAATCGTCTGAATAACATTGTTAATCCTCTAAAACTGCTAATTCGGAAGGTTGGCTGCTAGCCCTTCGTAACTGTCTTTTTGTCAATTCTGGTCGAATGTCACATAACCTCATATGTGACATAAGTAGGCTTCACGCATGATGCGTCAAAGAAACACAAAATTTGTTAAAAAAATTTCTGGGTCGTGTTTTTGAAAGATGATCTTCCAGTCAATTACCAGTTTGAGAGCTTAAGGCGTCTTGCTCGAAAAAGACCTGGTAATTTTCAGGGTCCGTTTATACTTGAAGACGACTGGTAGATATGCAATCGCGTTTTCAGGTTTCGTAATGTAGTGTGGCCAGATAGCCTGGTGATTACCCGTTGCCCTCGAAATGACCTGCTTTGGGTGTTGCTTGGAGCGAGATGAGGTGCCCGCCGTTTTCAACGAGCCTTTTATTAAAGGAGGGTACAGACTCCCTAACCAGCCATATCTTTACTATTTCAAATCCTTATTTTTTCAGCACAATGAATTGCTCAATATGTGGAGTGCCTTAATTACAGTACTCTGTCATGTTTATCTATTTCAATACTGCCCATTCATTTCTATCTTGTGGGTTCTGAACATTTCTGGCCTGCTGATACACATTTTCAGCTTCTTGGCCCATACTTTCGCTCACTTCACCTCGAAAGCACACATCAGTTTCTATTTGCTGGATTTCATGGGAATTTACATCGGGTTTTCACAGGTTATACCCTCATTCTTGATACTACATTATGATATTCCGTTTTATTTGGCTCTTATAATGGGGTCACTTGCTCTAACTTGGAATTTAACAACCTTCTATTTGTGTTGCCGGGAGTATTACGTCAGCTGGGAACCGTGGTTTGGCGGCGGTTCTTGTGAGAAGAAGAAGCCCCGTGTCTTGACTTTCGTGAGGGTAAATTGATCTATTATCTGTCTACTTTTCACAAATTTAAATGCGGGTTTCTCTATTTCGCCATGATTAAACTTTTTCAACAAATTATTTTAGCCTGTTTACCGAAAGATTTTTTTTGCACGTTTGAGCTATATCGTATATTGCAATGCTTAAGATTTTTTTTCGATTTTCCGGTTTGAATACAACGCTTGTTCCATTAAATTTGAAATAAGCAATCTAGATGTTTCCCAGGGTGTTGCGAATTTCACCTCCAAATATGAAGTTTCCAAAAAAACTATATCTATAGAAATTCACGAAATTTGAAATTCTTAAACCTGTAGATTTTAAAAGCCGTGGTACCCTCAGGCGTTTAAAATCTTGCCTTCAAATATGAGTGTTCAAATTTTTTTAGTTTCCGAGATACAACTATTTCGTGAATTTTTCCCAAATTTTATAAATTTTGAAATTCGCAACCCTATAGTTGGGTGCTGCTAGAGTACTCTTAGGTGTTGAAAATTTTGCCTCCGAATACGAGTGTTAAAATTTTTTAATTTCCGAGATATGAAGTTTTGTTTTTGAGATATAGTAAATTTTACAAAATTGGAGTTTCACAACCTTATAGTATGTTTTTGTTTAATTTTTCTATCTTCGAATCGAGTGTTGGTGGTTTTTAACGTAATCTTTATGTGCCTCTGTATATTGAATTGGCGTCTATTTCAAAAATCAAAAGAATCTTTTTCCAGAAACAGCCGGTAATTTTCAATTTCGAAAAAACTTCGGATTTTCCAATAAAACTTGAAAAAACCAGTTTTTTTTTAAAAAAAAACTTTCGTTTAAATGTCTCTTTCTGTATTTATTTGTTTTGCTGAATCGCTTAATTTGCGAATCTTTTCTATAGCTTGAAAAACGCCATCCGGTACTTGCTTGGTTTGGAAAAAAAATCACTTTTTAGTTTTTCGAAAATAAAGTTTGATTGATAATCTTCATTCGATCTTTTGATTTATCGAGTATGTTTTTGTTTTTTGTGATGATAATTTCAAAGATAATTAACAACTACTTCATCGGTTTTAGAGAAAAATCACTTTGATTGTCTTTTTTATCATCATCTGTATCGTTGACTCAGTCTTATCTCATTATTTTCATTATTTTATCTTCATTATTTTGACCTGTAGAAACGATGACTGGTGTTTTCATTTAGGAGAAAAATTGTTTTTTTTTAAAAAAAAAAAATTAGCCCAATTTTGGTTAATCATCTTTTTCTTATGTTGATCTGACTTAATGGGTACGCCTTTGAAATTTTTTTGGTATTTGGTAGATAAAAATTGTGTTATTCGAAAAAATGAAGGTATTTTATTGAGCCTTTTCTAAATATTTTATAAAAGTTTTGTTAGACAATTTTACACGCTGTGATCAGTAGTTTGCGCTCTGTATGGGTTATGGGTTGTCGCCTGGAGTTTTTTTTGTTAGAGCATCTTTTGATTGTAAAGCAGTTTCGATTTGAAATCACAAAACTATAATCACTGAATAATCAAATTTTCAAGCGTTTTAGCTCCCATCCGACGTTGCAGTACTTCATTAAAAGAACCAGCTTAACTAACCTTGCGATAAGCAAGGTTATTGCAACCGGGTACTTTTTTTCGGTAATTAAGTTTGCTCACCAAAGTTTTACAGGATCCCCAAATAAGTTCTCCGCCATGTATTTTTGTCACTCAACATATATTTTGAGCATCTCTGATTAGGAGTAATGAGCGTAGTATATAGTTCTTGGTGATTCTTTTTTGTTTTTTTTTTTCAGGAAAAAAAGTCTAAAAATGCTCTAATATCTACAGATGTGCATTCATACATATTACTGCATTTATGAATGCACTTAGGTATATATGCACTTTTTGAGTTCAATTGAATTTCATCTGCTGAAATAGCACTCTCCAAATACGAAAATAGAAATGGCGCGAAAAAGACGTGAACGATTTCTAGTTTCGAACGTGGAATTTAGTTTTTAGATTTCCTGCGGAATGAAAAAATTACCTAGTGATCCAGTTTGTATCAAGTTGGGTTAATGTTATCAGAAAACTGCCAATCATAAATTGTTCTAAGAAATTTAAAGAGCTTGAAGGGCAACTTTTTTTTCTTTGAAATTCGAAAATTGAGATTTTTTCAACAAAGTTGAGTGTTTTTTATTGTTTACTTCATTACTTTTTTCCAACTGTTAGTTGGCTATGTTTTAAAATTCCCGTTATAGTCGAACGTTGTCTTATGTTGTTTGTAAATTTACGTACTCCGACTTGTTTAAGTATTTAAAGTTTTCGTTTTTTTCTAATCGGCTGCAAAGTTCTCGGCATGCATTATGTCCAATTGCGTCAGATTGCGTCGTATTTTAGCTAATAATTTTCTTAAGCGTTTAGTTTTTTGATGGAGGGGGTTGATGTTTTCTCGAGTTTCAAGTGTTTTTTGACGAAAACATTCTTTTCGGCTTAATATGTTTCTGATTAAGTACTGTCGACTTTGTGACCGCTTCATAAATCTGATGCGATGCTCATTTCATTTTCAATTGTCCTAGTTGTCATGTTTTTCCGAAATGGAAGTTCATTCATGACAAATTGCGATAAAAAGATGAAAATTCTGCAAGATCTAGTTTTTGTTTCATCGTTGCGACTGATTTTTTTTTTTCATTTAATGTCCACTAATTTTTCATTTATGTTTGTATTGGATCGCAAGTGTGGAGAAACTTTTTGAAACTTTTGGAAGTACTCAATTAAAACGGTGGCTTATGTTCAGAAATACCCCGCAATTGATTCAATTAATCCCTTTTGTGAGTAATCTTTTTGCTGTGTAAGTAGCACCAGTGTACGTGAGTTTCTGATTTTAAGCTATGTAGTACCGATTTGATGATCCGTATGGAGGATTGAATTGAACAGCGTTGTATTTGAACTGTTGATTCTTGTTTAGAGAGGTACCTGGCTGTATGCAGTAGTATGGATTGCAATGATGGTGAAAATGGGCTTCTACCCACCGCCCAGTGGATCGTTCTATTGTCACCTACTAGCTATTATGTCATTGGTTATGGAGTGCTTCATATTGACGTGCAGATGTCCGGAAAGATGGTATCCTGACTACTTCGAGGCATTTCGAAGCCACGCGTTCACTCACGTATGTGCAGGGGCTGTCACGGTTGGCCTTGTCATGGCATTTCTGCAGGACAGAAGTGCATGGTCACGTGATCACTATTTTAGAGGAGAATTCATTCTTTGTTTACTCAGTGTTACTAATATATCCTGCTGCTTCATGCTGGCATACAGAACTCTCACTAAAATCTATCATGCTTCTGAAAACTAATCTATTTATACTGCCTGTTTAAAGCAATTTTAACTGATTGCTTTCTCATAGTCAATGAATTTAGTTTCAACTTAGTTCTAATTTGAAAATCAATAAATACAATTTGTCCAATAGTTGATATTAATAATTGCTTGATTCAATGAACTTCAATCAACATGGTACCACTTCTATGATGCTATGTAGATGATATTCAAATAACATGAATTTGTTATCACAACTGCGATTCATGCACTGTGTAACTGATCTGATTTGTGCTTAGCATTCTCAAATGACTCGTTCAACTGTTTTATGGCTCGCAAAAGAAATTAGTTGGGAGCAGCAAGATGTTCATGAGTTGTATAGTAGCTGCTGAAGGGCTTATTGGACGTTTTTGTTTTGACTTTCGATACGAAAGTAACGGAATAGTTGTTTGTGCTCGGGGTTGGTTTTTTTCTTCAGACAATTTCGACTTTTTACTAGCCATTTTTGACGGATGTTTTTAATATCATTCGAAAGGTATTGTGTCTTGAGCTTAAATTTGAAAAAATATTTCACCTGTGATAATTTTTCGCAAAGTTATAGGGGTTTAAAGATTGCCATTTTGGCCGATTTGGGACAATGAAAGCGCGATATATTTCGCCCTACGCGTAAGCGGACATTAATCCGTCTTAAAAATCGCTCCAAATTGGTTGAAAATAGCTTATTTGCCAGAATTGATTTGTTACAAGGAGCGAAATCTAACCTTCTGAACTTAATATGGCGTGTGGGGGATGATTTTCATAAAAAATATCAAATTTTAGAAAAATTTTTGTAGTAATATTATAAAAAATTATATATAAAAAATATTTTATTACATTTGATTTTTTAGGTTATTACTGCTCCATAAACCTTAAAAGGCAGTCGGAACATTCAATTTCAGATTTTCCTTACCGCAGTGATCTGAAATCAAGGCTAGAAAATGACTGTTTCGTTCTGTATTCTCATTCAGTCTTTGTAAACATGAGTTACAGGGCACATTTCTGGAGTGTCTAAGCTACAAATGAACAATTCAGTTCTTAACTGCCCGGCTAAAATTGCAGGAACACAAATTGCAATAAAATCATCACAGCTTTAAATTAATCTGCTTGTTATAATGTGTGTACTTTGATTGAAAGTTGTATTCAATAGAGAGTTAATTAAATTAAATATTGTTCAACAAACTTCTGATTTCTTAAGTTACCGCCAGTCTCGATTACAATTTCAAAAGTTAAGACAAGGATAGCCGGTTGCTGTGCAAGTAGCGCAGAATGTTCCGACCACATTCGTAAAAAAACTACTAAAGAACTCACAAAAGATCTGCGAGGTGTAATTATATAATTATACAAACGGGTGTAAAGTTAGTAAATTAGGCATAAAATACTTTGTCTTCAAAAAATAAATAAACGAAAATTTTTTTCAAAAAAATCTAAAAATTTTCCTATTTTTGCGCTAAAAATTTTATATTTGTATGCTAAATTTTTATGACCAAGAAAGCGCTGCATGAAGCTTTCAAAACAGGTTTTTTTTTAAGAAAATTAATTTTTTAAATCTAAATGGCCAATTTTTATATATAACGAACGTTACTGGATCGCTGTACTCGCTCGAATTTAGACTAAAATTAAAAAAATTTAAATTGATTTTTCTCAACGATGCGAAAGTTTTTTGTAAATTTCTTAATGTCTTTCAAATTGCGACTGAAAGGGCTCTAATATGATATAGCACTCAACCAATTCCGATTATCATTAGTGGTACCTAAGTTTGCGTGGAAAACAAAAAAGAACAAAACTAAAACACCGAATACAAAGCTCCTCCACATTTTTCTAATGGTCGGAACAAAAACGGCTTCTTTGTAGTTTTACAGTGTATATAAATTTTTTTATAGGATTTTGAAGAGAATAAATAGATTGCTCAAAAATAGTTTGAAGGATTTCAGTTTCTGAAATTTGCTTAAAATTTTGGTAGATTACTCGGCATCCACTGAATCAGCGAAAACGTTTTCCAACGTTTGAATTACCATAATCCAAAGTAAACTTTTTGTTTGAAATTAAAATGATCAATGTAATTTTCTAGTGGTACAGTGTCTTTCGTTTCAGTTAGATTTGTAGGAGCCTGTGACGTAAAACTATGATTGTTTTGGAAAGTCCTTCGAAGTTAATGGCAGCACAGTTAGCTAGCTGCTCACTGGAGGACCCAACAACTGAAGATTCAACAGCGCATGAGCCACAAAGAACCAAAATCTCTGTGAATGAAAAGGAAGGAAAAGGAGTTGCAAAGAAATCGCCCTTGAAAAGAGATCGACCCAATACGAGATCTCAAAACAAAACTAAAGCATCGGAAAGTGAAGAAAGTAAGCCAACAGAATGTAGTAGTAGTACCAAACAGGATGACCTTATGAAAGTGATAAAACAATTTCCTGAAATTGAAAACAGCGTGCGAGTTTCTCCTCAAAAGAAATCAAAAGATGAACATGACAATTTTTCTACTGTAAACAAAACCAATTCGATGGCGTCTAAGAAACAGCTCCATTTCGATGAAACACTAGAACAATTAAGTCCTCAAACAGTAATTGAATCTATTGGTTCCAATGATAATTCTGCAGTTAATGTTGAGAAAATCTGTCAAAACGAAGAAATAAAGCCTGGAAACCCGGAAATCCTATTAGGTGAGACAAAACTAAGCGAAGTGAAGATTATTGATAGCTCTTTTGTTCCTTCAAACAGTAATTTACACGGTGCAGACTCTGGCCAGCAAGAAACTGCCTCAAGCTCGCATGAAAAAGTTCCTGGTGATAGTTTACATGGCCATTTGAACAAAAAGCTAGCAAATAAGCCTAGAAGGTCCCAATCTGTAGAAGTTACGCCTATAAAGCCTTCCAAAGGCAAACAAGGCGATAAAAATAGTAAAAAGGTGGCCGGCGGGAAGTCTAAAAAGTTAAGCAAACGCGCCACAAGTCAGGAAAACTTGAAGGATTCAAACTTCAAAGTCACCGATTTCTACGAGTACCGTCGAAGTTACAGAAGATTATATACCAAACAGCCGACAAAAGAAGAATTGTATGAAAGATGTGTTCTTGAACAGTGTAAGGATGGTCTAAAAATTGAGAATTTTCCAGGAAAGGGCAGAGGAATTGTCGCTACTAAAACCTTTGAGCGAAACGATTTCGTGGTTGAGTACCGAGGCGACTTGATTTTGCCGAGCGAAGCGAAAGATCGCGAGGTTAAGTTTGAAAGTGACCCGGAAGTCGGCTGCTACATGTATTACTTCGTGCTCGGAAATACGAGATACTGTATTGACGCGACGAAAGAGTTAGAATCGTTCGGATATGGAAGGCTTTTGAATCATTCCAGAAAGCATCCGAATTGTAGGACGAAAGCGATTTGGGTGAAGGGAGAGCCGAAATTGATTTTGATAGCAAATCGGACTATAAATGAAGGCGAGGAGTTGTTATATGACTATGGAGACAGATCTAAAACAGCGATTGAAAATCATCCCTGGTTGGCTCAGTGAAACTGATAGTCAACTTGAAACTCTTTTAGCTCAAACTTTTGGACAGGCGGTTTGTTTTTGTACGTTCTAGTTTTGTCCTTTTGATGTTTTATTTCTTTTGACCTTTTGTACACTTTTCAGTGATTTTCCTTGATTTGATAATTCTCGAATGTAATTCACTTTCCGCGATAGTCTTTTCAAAATAGATGGCCAAGAGGTTGCGCCATTCGAGCAAGTCTTCGGCTCGGTCGATTCCTAAATGAAGTCAGCGAACTCAGTGTTTTCATGTTGAACTGTGAATTGAAGTGTGTAATACAGTGGTGCTGATTTAAATTATCCGGACAAAACGAATAAAACTGAACTAAGTCCTCAAACAGTAATTGAATCTATTGGTTCCAATGATAATTCTGCAGATAATGGTGATAAAATCTGTCAAAATGAAGAGCTGAATTAATGCGGTGCAATATATTTTGCGAAGTTATGTTCCAAAATTTTACCAAAAAAGCGGCCTTTTTCGGCGTGTTTTGGTGAAGCATAAGTTACGCCAAAACTATTTGTTCTATTGCTGACAAAAATATATCAAGTGAGCCTCTCATTTTGCCCTACAAAATTTAGGAATTGTATTTTCTCCAAAAAATTATTTGAAATAATTCAATATTGTTTGATTGACAAAAAAGGTCGTTTTTACTATGTAAAATACCACTTTTTATAAAAAAAAACAATTTTAAAACGTTTAGCGCATTTTTTGGAGATAACCCATTTCGTAAATTTGTTGAGCAAAAACATCCGAAATGGTTGTTTTTGGGGTAAAATTTTCGGCGTGTTCATCGAAGTTGTATTTGAAGCATTTGGCTTTGAATACTTTCATCATTTACGACAAAGAAAGTAAAATCATGGCTTGATGAATGGTTGCTTACACTAGCCAGCAGCGTAGTGGATTAGTACGAAGGAACCTTCCTTTTTTTAACGTAACTCGCAAATAAAACTTCATTAAAAGTGTTCACTTATTTGGTGGCACTTTTGCTATAATCACGATCTGTAGCTTTGGAAATATCCAGAGATCTATTATCTGGTTTATTTGTGACTAGTTTTTGTGATTTATTAAGTGTGAGTGGTTAGTGCGTGAGACTCATAATTTTTATATCGCAGATCGAATCCAAGACGTAGTCAAAGCTTATTTCTAAATTTTCTTGAAATTGAGCATCTGCATTGAGCTGTATTTTGTCGTGTTCTCGCTGGTGGTTGTGAAGCGAAGCTTCGCCTGTGTATGTTACACTTGCGAGATCAAGTGTCGTGGAAAAGACATATCCAGGATTTTGCGGGGTGGGGCGTTTTCAAAAATATAATTAGAGTTTTCGACTTCAATAAATCGTTTTTTTAAATCTCAATCTCTAAAAAGACTCCATCGTAAACAAATTTTCTGCAAAGTGACATGCTTTTGAATAAAGATACAAAATTTTTAGTTTTTGGAAGCTTCTTGAATGGTTTTGATCAAAACTTATATATTCGCGCTCATGGCATCTGTAGATACTTTTTCGGGCTTTTCGGCCTAAAATGGCTTTCGTGTAAAAAAACTATCCAAATGGGGAGTATATAGTTGGAAATGGGGTTGAATTCCTGAATCCGCGCCCTCGCAGTTTGCTATTGTACATTTCAAAATTTATGAGACAAGCAAAGCTCACGATATTATATTAATATGGTGTTTTAGTTCCTTTCTAAGTGGCAATGTTTTTTGTTCAATTTCTCCATCAGCTTTTGATATATCATATATAATTGGCATTTGTCTATTTGAAGTCAATTTGGGATAACTACCGTGCGCAAAATTAGAAAATCATATTGATGTGCGCGCAGTGTAGTAAATTAAACAGGCTTGAAATTATTTTCAAATCAGCTTGAGGCAAGTTATTTATAAAAATATTGCGCCTATAGACGCTTAGCTCATCATTTTGTACTTGGCATTGCGTATGGGTGAAGATTCTCAGAAAGGATTCTGGAAAATTTTGTTTTTCTTGAAGGTGGAATAATTTTTTTCAACTTTATAGCGCACTGTGAACATCGTGGGGTTTGCTCTGTTGGAAGCAGTCTTGTTAGTCTCGCATTATGGGAGGGAGAAATGAGTGTTATCCAAACAGCATTGGATGAGCGGTTTAAGCAATTACTTCTTGTTGTTTCGACTTTTGAAGAAAGAGGAATATATATGCTTGGTGGTTTTTTCAGACCCATTTTACAAAAATTTTACTGCGGTAACTCTCTGGCGTTGTTTTTTTTCTTAATAAAATATTGTTCGAAATACTGAATTTATTTTTATAATAGTATCATTGGGTGGACGTGGCCGAAGTGTTTTCTTTAATTTGGACTAAATAGATACGACATCTGCAAATATATTACAAGACATGATCTCTTTAACTATAGATAAGAAAGTTTCACCTTCGAAATATATTAGATTATATGATCTATTCAACTGTAGATATGGAAAGTTCCACATTGATATTGTCCACATTGCACTTCCGTCCTTTGAGAAACTTCCCCTCTGGTTGAGAGCAATTTTTCTGGTTTCCATCCTCAGATCTCCCCGTAAGCAATATATGGCTTGCCACCCTATATCTAGCACCGCGAGGTGTTTTCATTTCACCTAATGTTTTAGTTGATGTTACTGAGTTTCGAAGGGTTGCCGGGTGTCTTTGGTTGGAAACGCCATACAATCCAAATCTTCAGAGGGCCCAGAGTAACTTTCACGGCAAATGAACTTCGTTTTGCAGCAAGATATCCATTTAGAATAGTGTGTCACTGACACGTTAGATGCGTCAATTCCAAAAATACATAATTTTTTGAGCTACCATCCTTTTGGAGGTTCAGCAACTTTGGTGTTTTGTGTTTAATCGGATGTTGTGCGTGGTTGAGCTCTTTGGAACTCCATTCCTGTTGACAATATCAGACAGCTTTGCGGTAAGGTAAGGCTCTTGCGTTGTTATTTTTGTAAAAAATACTATTCGATTTTCTGAAATTATCTTTATAATAGTAGTACTAAGTTATCTTTATAATAGTAGTCTTTATAATAGTAGTATCTTTGGGTGGACTCGGCCGAAGTGATTTACTTCAATATGCAGTAAATAGATGCGACATCTGCAAATATTTTCCATAACATGAACCCATCAACTATAGATAAGGAATTTTCATTTCGAATTATGTTACATAAAATGATATATTCAACCATAGATATGGAAAGTTCCACATTCATAATGTCAACGACATTACATGATAGCACTTGCATCTAATATTGGTTGTACAAATTTTATCAAAAGAAAATCTGCACAAAAACTGTCTGTTAGGGGGCAGTCGGAACATTTAGGGCTTTACCTTGATAGACGGGCAGTCTTATTTGGTTAGTTTTTCGAAGCAAGCGAGGAATCTATATGCTAGGGGTGGTTTTTTATTCAGACCAAAATTACAAAAGTTGACTGCGTATGGGTATCGATCCGGAAATCTTCTGCCAAGCGAGATTGCTTGCCAGTAGCCTAAATGCGGTCGGGAGTTCTCGATTAATCGTTAATACTTACAACGCAATTTAAAAAGGTGAATTATTTCGCGCTGATTTGGTCATTTTAATTCGACTCAAATTTTAGCACAGTCCAAATTTGATATTGGCAGTACAAAATTTATAATTCATCAAAATTTTGTTACACAAACATTATTCGAGACCAGCTAAGGGGCAGTCAGATTAGTCAGAACATTCAGTGCTTTGCCCAAATGTACAATCAGTCTCTTGTTCTTTTCGTTGCTTGTGTTTGTCAAATTTTTGAGCCCTATAACTTTTCTAAGGACGCCTTCGGCGACGATACTAAATATGAAATGATAAACGCAATGTTTGGTTCAAATCTTCCAAATGGCGCTGAATTAGTAGCTTCCTCCGAAACTTGCTTTCGGCAAAAGTTTTGTGGGGAAGGGTTATTCTGGTGTTAAAGCATAGCTCGACAAAGCGAATTGACTGGCATAATAAATGTCAACTGAATTTTTTGAATTGCAGATATCTTACCTGAGAACATATCGATGTCAAATCGATAGTATCATGCAGAGCTTCGTGCAGTTTGAATTTATTGCTTGCCTAGCATGGTATGGCGCGAAATGAGTATTTTAGTATCTACATCATAGTTCATCAGAAACTGATCAATCAAAGTATCTGAACTTCGTTACTTTCTATAAACACAGTAGTTCTACTTCATGAGGCTTGGAACATCTATTTGATATTTTAGTGCAAAAGTATTAGCATATCATCATTTTGGTATGATAATTCTTTGCTGAACAGTCACTATTGCCTGCGGTTTAAACATGATTGTTGAGTCCCTAAAATATAGATGGGTCCTTGAAGAAAAAAGTTATGATCCCGAACTTTTAAAAGCATGCTCAATTGTCTAATTGCGGCTCTGGTCTCTTAAGAAAAATTGTGAGGATCAGCTCATCTTCCGTACTTGCTTTTTACCGGAACCCAACAATCATTTTTAACCTTTATTGTTAAATAAAAAGAATAGTGTTACGAAATAAAAAAGGTTACTGTTACAGTATTTTCAAATTGAAATGGCCTTGACTTCGATTCCGAAGGCCGAGTTAGTTATAATCGGAGCATCCGTTGCTGGTGGTTTCCTTATTAGGTAACTTATCCGATTTGGTACCTGGACAAAGTTCAACACGACTGTCATTGACCGGAATGAGTTCGTTGAGTGGTTGGTTACCATGGATGATTATTTATTCGATGAGACGAAAGTGGATAAACATCTCTTCCGAACAAATGACTATTTCGAACAGAATCAGTTGTCCAAATACAACATCAAATTCGTTCAAGGTACAAATAAAAGCCACAAGTTCAATTTATTCTAACAAAAGAAGATAAAGTTTAGCCCAAAGTATACAAGAATCAACTTTTTTTAAATAAGCATGTGCAAATATACAAGTGCCACTTGTGCGCTTTGCTTGTGACTATTACTCTTTGGTTGCTTGCAAAATAGCTTTCGCACAGAAAGCACGAGGTATGCAGTCTAACACGACGGAAAACATTGTGGTGCTCCGTGGCTTAACTCAATCATCCTGTACTACAATCGTTCACATTGAGTAGTTGAAATTAAGATCAGGGGCGGATTAGGGGGGGGGGGGGATTTCTTGAGATTGACAAATTGAATTTGGTCGTCAGATGCTAAATGGCGTTTGGGCCCAGCTATTTAAAGGAACGCTGGCATTCAGGGGCGGATTTAGGGGGGGGAGGGGCGTTGGGGCGGACGCCCTTATCCTCAGGGATTCGACCCCCTGCCGACCCAAAGGGTCCCCCTTTGGTAATTTTAAGGCAATCCATTTTTGGGCGACCGACCCTAAAATTTTTCTAAAGTCGCCTTTGGCGCCAATATAGACTAATTTTGAGGGGGAGCGCAAAATTTTCCAAAAAGTGCCCAAAAACGGCTTTTTTGACCTATTTTTTCAAAAATTTGACTGTGGCGCAGAAAATTTTGCTCAAAATTTTAAAAAGACTCTTGTTTTTGTCTTTTTAGTGCTTTAGGAGAGCTCGGAAAAAAATGCACCCCCACCCTCGAGAAAATCCTAGATCCGCCCTGTTTAAGATGATGCACGGTCAAAAATGTTTCCGCGTGTAGCAAAAAAGTACTACTAGTCTGAAGGTCATCATTTTTCTCAATTGCTTCAGAAAAATTCAGGAAAGCTGAATACATTGGACTTAACTGAAAATGAAAAAAATTAAGTTGGTTAAACATGTATATTGTTTTTAGTATCCTAAGGAAAGGAAAAGAAACTGTAGAAAACTTAGCTGCATTTTGCTTTTTCAGTGAGGGTACATAGTAAGAAGCACATAGTCTATGGCTACCCTCGTGTTCATATGTACAGAAATGTAAGGTTTACGTTTGCAAGATATCTATTCTAAGAGGGGCTCGGTCACTTAAATAAATGTTTTTTTACACATGCGAAGTGTAGCATACTGCTACAAAAAAAATTCTAACTTAAGTCGCAAATAAAAATGCTCTTTTGGTGGCACTCTCTTGTATATTTCAGTTTAATGAAAATAAAGCGTATTTTAGCTAAAAACATTTTATTGGAATATGCTGCCGCTTTATCTTTGGCTAATGATAGGCCTGTTTGAAAAAAAAAACGCTTGAATGTGTATGAGATTTGTTGTTTTTCTTTTTTTTGCGACGATTTGGTAATTTTTTGCACTTTTCGCAGACATTTCAATTTTTCTCAAAAACTACTGTTTTGGTTTTAAAAAAGTAATGATAAAATCAATGGAAAAACCGGCTGCTCTTCTATGTGCCTGCATATTTCGACAGTCTGTTTTCATTTTACGTCGCGTTCTACGGCCTTCGAATGTTTCAGTAGGGGGATTTTTGGCCTATTTGTTTTAATTTTCTCATTTTTGCAAATATTATGTGCAAAAATCTGAGATGAACGTTTCAATCAAAAAGACAATTTATGGAGATTTCTTTTTCTCAAGTGGCTATTCCCTTAATTCGGTTTTAAAAAGTTATGACCTCGCACACCCCCATTTTGCGACATTTTGGTTAAGTTTTAAAACTTTCTGTCTTTTCTCAAAAACTACCCTGCCAATTGGAAATCAAGGGTCTAATCGAAAGAAAAGAAATCAGTTAAGCGAATTTTACCTGCGTATTGAAATATAAGACCTGAAAAATGAGCAATTTTTTAATTTTTGCCGGTTTTGTAGAAAGTTATTGTTTTTTCAATAACCAACTTCTTGATTCTGAGGTTGATAGCTTATTAAAACTCACGTAGCTTGAATTTTTTTGAATTTTTACTGTTTTTTTAAGAAATTTGGTCACTATTCTTGAAACAGACTAGCTACATCTGATAGTGAGGGTTCAATCCAAACATTAGGGTGCGGAAATTATATATTTGAAAGTCTGGGTATGGAAAGCAGACGCCATTCTTATGCGTTAGTAGGGAAAAGTTAAGGGATTTAGGAAACGTCAAAGTTTTGAAATTTTGATCGATTTTTCACTTTGTTTTTTGAAAACTACTCAGCCAAATCAGAGATAAAGACTTCAATTGAAATAGCATGTAATAGTTTTCTCCTTGAAATAAGCGGTTAATCCCCTACCCAAGCAGGAAACACTAGGGTTTAGCCTAAAGTTCACTTTGAAATTGCGCATTTCCAATATAAGATTAAAAAGTAGAGTATATGATTGAAAAATATTACAACAGGTAGATCCAGTATTAGCTGAGCCACTAGCTTACTTCCAAGCTACCGTGGCGCAAATGCGAGGATAAAAAACTCCTAATCAAGAGGGTGGTATAAATCCAGATTATTTACTTAGTTCTTATAGTAAGTTGCAAGCGGACGGGCAGCCGATGTGAGAAAGTGATTCTCCTAATCTCCACAAAAAAGTTTTTCCAGGTGCATTTTTTTAGCTCTTCTCGATTCAATTTTTTTGCCTGTTTAGAGCTCTTTTTTGCATTTCCCCGCTTGTCTTTGCGAAGCGCAGCTTCGCCTCTGTGTTTATTGTATACTTAGATTCTAGTCAAGTATAATCCATTTTCCAGAGTATAAGTGGTTTGTATTGAAAATTGCTGAGCCAATTCAAGCTCAGATGTGTCTTGTTTTGACTGTCGGTTTATGTCGTCTCAGATTTTGCCGGCTTATTTCCTTTTAAAATTGTCAAATATGCTGGTCCACTCTCTCTTTTGCTTTGTAGTTTTTAGCAGCGTATTTTTTCTGCAGCTTTGGGATGTGTGTACTCATTGTTGCGGCAAAGGAAAGAAAAAAGTATCAGAAAATTTCGCTATTTTCACAATTTTTCCGGCTCTGCTGTTGGAAACTTTTTTTTCGAAAGTTTCTTTATTTTTTTGTTTTGACTTTGGAATTTTTAAATCAAATTTACAGTAATCTATTACTTCGTTTCGGCCTAAGTGTGCACCTAGAGTTTTTCTAAAGTAAAAAAAAAGAAAGTTCGAGAAACTTTTGCGTCAAAATGTTTTAATTGGTAAAACATACAGTAAAACCTGGTAGTCGACTTCGTTCGTTTTTTCGTAAAAAATTTATGCCTAATTCATAATTGATCACTTAATTTTATCTGTTGTAAAACTGTAACTTAGTATGAGCTCACTCCAATCGTAACAAATTTGTTACTTAATGTAAAACTTTAACTTTGCATTTTTTTAGGAAACCGGATTATTTTATTAAAGATTACTTACTTCATTGTGTTAAATTTGCCGTAGGAGAGTTTCTGATTAATACCTTCTTCTCAAAACAAAAACTGTAAAAACGGTAGTTTTATCTGTAAAAAAGTTGCATAAAACTTTTTGCAATCTCTACTTTTATTTCATTTTTTCATATTTCACTTTCGGGCTTTTACAATCACGGAACAAAAAAAACTATATCTTGTTGTTTTTAGCGCCAGCAAATACACAAGTTTTCCCATGCTTTGTCGTTTTCTCCGCAACTTTAAAAACGGATTTGAAACTTCGACGCCTGACCTGACCACAAAACTCTTCAAAAGTATAAAACCAAATCAAATGAGGAAATCTTTCTTTAAACAGTCACAACTGGTTTGATAACTTATTGCTGAAAAAAAAAATTTGAAAAAAAACGCAAGTTTTTTCAGTTATACCCCCTAATTGATGAAAATGAAACTCCTCAAAAGCCACAGGTTTGATTTGCATTGCGTTAAAACAACTAGAAAAATTGCAAAAAACACTAGTAAAAAGACAATAACAGCCGCATTTGGTCTAAAATTTACGAAGTTAATATGAAAAAAAACGGCTAAAAAATAAAGAAAAGCCGTTTCAGGCTAAGTTAGAAAAAATTGTTTTTTTTTAAGTTCTGTATTCAAATCCTGACTCTTTCTGTAATATTGTTATTCAATTTTTCATGTAATTTTTCATCATATAGGATGAGTATAACTGAGAAGAGAAGACCCGAAAGCGCTCACTTGGTGTTTTTACTTAAGCTGTAAAAGGCTTGGAGGTTTCAAATGTCCGCGCAAGTTCGATGCTTGGTGAATGATAAATATTATTCGGTTATTAAACTGAATAATTTTTACCATTCAACAAGCATCGAACTTGCACGGACGCCAAAAACCAGAGCTTTATAACAGCCTGTATAAAAGCACCGTGAGAGCGTTGTTGGTTCTTTTCAGTTATGCTCCTCCTGAATGATAATTGAAAAATTAAATTTATATAACGAAACTAGATCAATATTACAGAGCAGGTAGGATTTAAACTCAACTGCAGCATTAATTTTCTGCCTTGTCAATGAAATTCTGCTCTATAAAAAAAATCTGCTTTTAAAGCCCAACTCTGCCTAATTCTGCTGCTAATTATCCAATGGCCCAAAATCAATACTTCGACTTCTTGAACTAAAATTTTTCTGATTTAAACCGATTGGCTAATTAGGCAATCAATTTAAAACAATATGGTCCGACAATTCGACTATTTCAAAATTATAAGCCGAAATGACCGTCGTTTCACTGTCATATTTTTGTCTGAACTTTGTTTGACAAATGACTTTTGATTGTTTTCCGTAATTTCTGCTTGTAATTTTATCTGCTGAAAACGTTGATTGAAATGCTTGACAAGGTTGCTTGAATGTGATCGGCTAAACTGAGCTAAAGAGTTAAAAAAAAAATTGGGGTCGTTTATTGGCATAGTGCGAGGCAGTACAAATGCCGAAATACAACAGTGCCGGAAAAAATGTTGCTAAACAGTGCTGCGACGAATCATCACTTTTTGGCATGGCACTGTTGGAACCTTCCGCTCAGTGCACAAGACCCAATTATTACAAGACCCATCTTTGTTACGCATTTTCGTTGAGATATGTTTTCAAAAGAATTTTTTGCTGGAATTCACTGGATTTCGTTTGTTGCAGGCACGGTTAAAAATGTCACGAGTGAGGGATACGACTTAGGAGGCACAGTGGAATTCGAATCATCCGAGAGTGAAGCAGGAATTGAGAAATGTCAGTTCGACTATTTGGTAATTGCGACTGGTGCTCAATATGGAACTCCGATCAAGGACGGGAACAGAACTAAAGCTAATCGGTCACAAGGTTTGCCATTTTCTTCTTTCCTAAAATATCTTCGGAGTTTCTATTTTTTAAAACTTCACTGCTTATTTGAGTTCATGTTTTACTGTCATCAAAAATACGTGGCAATAGTGCACACGCTGAGTTTTTTAGCATTCGACGTTTTTCGTCATTACGAGGCCAAATTGTGTATTTTATTAAATGCAAGCGGATTCCGCAGCATGGACCCTCTCTTTGTAGATGTACTTTATCGAAAAGTGGTGTTCTAGAACTGAAGTGCTGGAGTTCTCGGATAGCAGATGCTTCTGAAGTGGTAGTGGTTGGAGGGGGTGCGGTGGGGGTTGAGTTCTCAGCAGGAATAGCTTACAAAAACAGGCAGAACAAAAACAAAGAACGAACACAGGTGGGCTTTTTAGTCGGATAGCTACCCCCCCCCCCCTAATGGTATCTACTAAAAAACTTTCAACCCTGTAAAAGAACTTTCAACGAATAATTATTTTCAAATATTTTGCCTAATGAAAAGCTCTCGGTTTTTTGTTATTAATTATTTTGTTGACCGTTCTTTAGGTCGACCAAGTTGAATTTCCAAGCTCTACAACTCAACTCCAGGCTGTTTTGGACTAAAAAAGTTGCGTGTTAGCCAAATGAGACGCTAATTTCCTATCATTCCAGTGGGTTTTGCTTAAAGCTCTAAGTCAGATGAAACTGCTTCCATTCGTCCTGATACGTATCATTGTTCTGCGTTTCTTAGTATTATTGGTGAAAATATCTATTTTTTTGGATTTCTAGAAGTCGGTTAATTTTGCAGTCGGAGGGGCTCAAGTTGAATGTTTTCTTGCTAATGAATGTAATTGAAGCGAGTGAAAGTCAATATTTTAAATTTAAAAAAGCATTATACAAATAGTAGTTTATAGACTAAAGTCAGTCTATGCGAAAACAAATCAACAAAGAGAAACAATCTCAAATCAGCTAATTTTGAGTTTCTAGTATTGCCATCTAGTATTGTGCAAGATTGAATCTTCACTTTTGGGAAGAAACCTTATTTCTTTGCTGGTTTCTTGGCCGCTTTCTTTGCCGGAGACTTCTTGGCTGCTTTTGGCTTAGCTGGACTCTTCTTTGCTTTCTTGGGCGAGGCCGCTTTCTTTTCTGCGGGTTTGGCTACTGCTGGTGCGGCTGCCGCCGCTGCCTTCTTGGCTGGAGACTTCTTTTTTGGGCTAGTCTTCTTGGCGGGTTTCGTTGCCGCTGACTCTTTCGCAGGAAGTTTGAAGCTCCCGCTGGCTCCGTGGCTCTTGCTTGAAGCATGGACTAGTTCCTTTTTGTTCAACATCCTTCGGAGGGCGACTTTGACATGGTTGGCGGCCTTTTCGTCCACTTTGTAGTTGGCGTTGATGTACTTCATAATCGCAGCTTTGCTTGAGCCTCCCTTCTCGTTAAGTTCTTTCACTGCCTTCTTGATCATCGAGGCGAAAGGTGGGTGCGATGATACTTTAGCAGCTGAGGCCTTCTTGGGAGTGGTGGCTTTTTTGGTTGTAGCGGCAGGCATGATTTGTGTTGAGATTGTGTTTTGGAATTTCAAAGAATAAATCCTTTTTAAGTTGAGCTTGATTTGCTTGTTGAACAAAATGATAATTGTCTAAATTTACGCTCAGTATATATACTACAGAGCTACACCGGAACGAAAACGAGCTCAACGCTATAGAAAATCAACTGATATACTGCGAAAAATGCACGATTTCCAAAATCAAAACGCAATTTCCGCTAGATTGACTGATTTTTTCCGGAAGTTGAAAACTAATCCAGATAGCCAACAATTTCAGCTTTTGATTGATACTAAATTATATTTTTATTTTCTTTCTGAAATTAGAGAAATTCGACAAAAAGGAGAACGACTGTCAAAGAATTATTAAAATAACTTCGGATTTTGATGAAAAATACGGTTTTTGTGGGGTTTTCAGATTTTCGTCACTCAAGTATTCGGAAAGCTTAGGTTATTGCGGACATATTGAGCTAAAATTCATAAATTTAGCTTGCGAATAGTATGAGAAAAAAGCTATTGTTGAACGGCAATTTATATTTTCTACAAGATGGCTAACGAAAAAGAAAGAACTCGAAGGAATATGGCTTTCTTTCCATGTATACATGTATAAAATGTATGAAATCATATAGAATCCGTTTTTTAAGAAGACGTGACCTGAATTTACTTCTGTTTGACACATTTTTTGTTCAAAATAGGTTCTTTTTTTGTCGGCTCGGTCTCAATTTTTTGACCGATATCACGGTTTAGCGGCCAATATTTCGCCGTAACTGAAATCTACGGGGAAGTTACACGGGGATACGAGTAGAGTTTTAGTCAACCCGGGTCAAAGTGAGCGACAATCACTTTGCGCCCCGAGTTTTTTGAATTGTCCAAAGTCGGGACAGTAGCCGCGGTCCCTCAAAGTTTGGAAGACATCGACAAACTCCAGGCTGTCGAGACATAACTTGAGGATGATCGCGCTACAAAAATTCAGTTGGTCAAAACTTGAAGTTTCTGATTGTTGCTGTTTTTTTTTGCTGCAGCAAGTGATTTAAAGAGGCGAGTTGCAAAATTTGGGCAGAAATTCGAATACAATTTGGCTCCTTCGAAAACATGTCTTGAAAAAATCCCTTTTTTACTCAGATAAGAACAAGAATATGTCCTCAGCAAAAGTCATACAGGACGACACCTTACCATATGACCCACTATGAAGAATGTTATTTGTTTATTTGACCTTGACCTCTAAACAATACGTTACTGAGAAGTTGTCTTTTTATCAAATAGATCAGATAGTATCAGTTTATTTACTTTTAAAGTTTACCGACCTAACATGGTAGCAGGAGGTAGTTAGTATCCAAAAATTGACTGAAACGAGTATGCCTTCAAAGAATGACGAACCCAAAAAGGATAACCCTAGACAACTGATTACATTTGACGGATTGGAAGATAATGACGAACAAATTGATTATGAGACGGGTGGGCCTTATGAGATATCAGCAGGGGGATCGACAACTAATACAACAAAAAATCAAAGCCTGTGGCCTCAAGTGAGTCTATCTACAAGTAGCTCAATCAGCCATCAAATAGTGGGAGACACTGAACAGAGCGTAGTGAACAAAATGGGGAGCCAGAATCAAAGAACACAAATTGAAATATTGAAAACACAGATAGAAAAAATGACGACACAGCTGCAAAATTTAGCCCAACTGAATGAAACATTGGAAGAATTGCAAACGCAATATGCCTCACCAATCAGTGTAGAAAGAGTAAACAATGGGAAGGACATGGAAGTCCCGCTGATGTAAAACAGTTCTTTAGATCAATACATTGGTGGAAAAAGAACACAGAATGGCGGAGAGGCAGCGTGCATATAGATACAAAAATTCAAGCAGCACACATCACAATGAACGGTATTCAAAACCCAGAAATAAACGAAATGACAGTAGCGATGCCAAAAGATTTGGCATAGAGTAGTGAAGGGGTAGATAACCTCATTCGTGTATTGGATTAACACATGCTGCCAAATCCGTTCATAAAGATGTCACAATGCTATCAAAAGTGGAGAACACGTAAAAAATGAGAAGACATTTCTTGGGACCAATACATCAAAAATATGAAGAAATACAAAACGAGATGGAGGAGCTAGGAATGGTAATTCTGTTTTCATATACTGTGTCGCTTTATTGACATGTTCCAATCTTGATGAAAGCACGCAGATGAACATGGAAAGTGTCGCAAAAAACAACTCCGAAGATGACCAAATGGACCCTGCTATTTTGGAACACACGATGAAAAGATTCACAGCGTCCAGTGAACAGACAACAGGTGACGTCATGTATATTCGAGGATCGAACAGAAGTAGAGAAGGTGGAAATTCACGAGAGAGAGAGAGTCAACAGAAACACCCTTAAAAGTTACAATTGTGGGACGGAAGGAGGTTTGCCGAAGACTGCAGAATAATGAGACAGTAGAGAGGAAGTTGGAGAGGTAGACAATGGCCGTACAGCAGCAACCATAACAACAGATACATGAATGACCAACAATGCCACGCATATGGAGGTAGATACCAACAGACTAATTATAACTCGGAAGAAAATATTTAGAGCACATTTTCTCTGAAGAAAATGAACAAGAGAAGAATCACCAAAACACTTTGACAGAGAACAACACTCCCGAAAAACAAGAGGCAGAACAGGTTCGAAATATATCACCATGTTGGTACGTAAATAAAATTTTTAGGAGAAAAAGAATACAAAAAATGAATAGAATGACAGTTATAAAATGTCTAAAATTTGAGATTGGCCCAAAAGCAGCGAAAACAATCATATCTAAAACATGTCTCGAAAAGATTGAAAAGTCATTGAATCCTATTTATTGGAGAGATTTACAAAAAAGGAAACAAACAATTGACAAAAGCTTCAATTTCGGAAGAGGAGCACCTATTAGAGCGACTTGCTTGTTACATTTACCGGGAGCTGAATGTGAAATGTTTTTGACACGCGAGATATAACTCACTAATGATGACATCCCATGTCTACTTGGCATTCAAGCACTCGAGAAATAAGGTTCAGTAATATTCATTGGGGAAATATCGTGAGAACAAAAAGTTATATATTTTCCATCTCAAGGAGAGAAACAGGCCACCGACATTTAGCAGTAAAAATTGGCCTCAACAATCTCACAATTAGAGCATCAGAAAATGAAAAAAGAAATGAAGAGATCTATTTTACTGAGAGATTAGTGAATCAAAGAACTGATCTAAAGAGGAGAACTGATATGCATATTAGATTTGGTAATGCATTTTATGGAAAGTTGAAAGCATTTATCAACAACTCTTTACTTACAGAGAACTTATCGGGGTCAAAAGCACGACTTTTTGGATCATTTTGCCAATTTGTTCTTCTGACCCCGATAAGTTCTCTTCAAGTAAAGAATTGTCGATAAAGTTTTCAATTTTCCATAGAATGCATTGCCAAATCTAATATGCAAATCAGTTGTCCTCTTTAGATCAATTCTTTGATTCACTAATCTCTCAGTAAAATAGAGGTTTTCAACTCTTTTTTCATTTTGATTGAAATCATTACTTCTTTGAATCGTTAATTTGTTAGTCTTACTAACTCTGTTATATCTAGCACACTCACTGCATGTAATGACGACTTTTTCGATCATTTTGTCCATTTGTTATTACATGCAGTGAGTGTGCTAGGATATAACAGAGTTAGTATGACTAACAAATTCACGATTCAAAGAAGTAATGATTTCAATCAAAATTTTGCCATAGTCGTGACGTAATAGAATGACCCCGCACAAGAAAAAAAATCCATCAAATTACATATGGTGTATGAATTCTCACGACTGAGTGTAGCCACATTTTTTCCATCAAAGGAACCAAAAGACATAATGAATACCATAAATATGAATTGGTTCACGAAGTTTGGCCACCCCCAGATCATTTCTCTATGACTTAGGAGGAGAATTCAACAATGACCTCATGCTACTAATGACTTCAAGTTTCATGATAAACACCACAGCAGGTTATGCACCTTTTTCAAACTGGGTAGTAGAGAAAAAAGTAATACTCAACAACATCATGAAAAATGTAAAAATGATTTAAAATGTGACAGAAAACAACGACATGTTATTAGCATATGCTTTTATGGCAAAGAATATGCTCTTTGATATTAATGGTGTATCACTTTTCCAGAGAGTATATGGAATAAATACCGCGATTAACACGCTATTCAAAAAAAAAATTCCAGAAAGTGCTCGGATAGTGCAAGAAATCAAGACATTCAGGATCTAAGAATACACCTCAACACAATTCAAGCATTTGGGAAAACTTTTGTGAAAGCTGGAAACGAAGAAAATTTCAAAAAAAACAAAAACTAAATTTTAACAAACATAAACCTGGTGATGTAGTAAGATGCAATAGAAAAATTTAAGAAAAAAACATATGGTTAGGCCCTGCAAAAGTAGTAATGTGCAAGGGTGCAAATGTTATGAATAAACATGGAAAAAGGATTATACATGCACATTACACTAGAGTCACATAAGCAATTGATTGGTCACATATAGACCCAACAACCTTATCTAACACCCACCACAAAAACATCAACACTCGAACAAAGAATAGTGCATCATTTTACGATAGCCAGGGGACGATTTGATGTAACCCTGGATTTAAAGGGGGAGCGCATCAGCCTCAAAAACATTTACATACTTCAAGTTCAAATAAATCGTGTTGTGAACAAAGCGTGTTACATCACAGCGGAAAGTTCCGTCATGATAAGATTGACGCAACTTATGACGCAATAAGCTCAACCGGAACGAAAACTATCTAAACAGATCAAGATAGAACAAGAAATCAATGTCATGATGTTTTCAAATTGAATCAAGTTGAACGGTCGATAACAGAAACGGAAAGTGATTGTGAGATATTGAAAGAATTTACTGTCGTTGATTTTGAAATTTATACAAAAGGTTGTAACATCTATCATCAAAATTGTGAAAAGGACCGGACGAAAATTCATCTGATTATACAAGGCTTGCAAATTTATCTACTTATAAACTAAAAATTCCTTGATTATTTCATTACCTAAATAATATACACTTTTGCAATC